AGAGAGAGAGAGAGAGAGAGAGAGAGAGAGAGAGAGAGAGAGAGAGAGAGAGAGAGAGATGACGCGGAACAAATCCAGATGGCACGCAAATAACCGGGGTCCACACCGTTTCAGATTCGAATTTCAAGGCCCTGCGGCCTGCACGCCGTTTCAGGCCTGGGTCCACCGTTTCAGATTCAAATTTCAAGGCCCTGCGGCCCGCACACCGTTTCAATTTTTTTTGGACTGCGGGGTTCCGAGGAAAACGCCACGGACAGTTACAGGTCCTGGATTTGCTTGAATTGCCGCCCCCCCCCAAATGCCAGTGCCGTTCATTTTACCAGCCTTTGAACGACCAATGGGTCCGAATGGACGACCGGTATAACGAACGACGACGAAAAATGTCTCAGGGGTGGAAAACGCAACCCTGCCGGCCTGCGAACTGTGGCCTCCTCGGCCTCCTAAGCGCAGCTACCGGTCCTACGCGGTCCTGGACTAAAACCCGTGCGGTCCCACGGGCAGCTACCGGTCCTGCAGTTTCAAATAAGATGCCACCCCCCCCTAAACTGCCATACCTTGTTTTTCTAGCCTTCCAATGACCGTGTAATGAAATGATGAACGACGACGAAAAATGTTCTCAGGGGCATAAAACGCACCCCTGACGGGCTGCGAACTGACGAAAAATGTTCTCAGGGGCATAAAACGCACCCCTGACGGGCTGCGAACATCCTCCTGGCTGCGTCCCCGCACCTTGTGCTGTCTACAGTAAATTTGGCAACCTTAGGAAAAAAAGGAACCAGCGGGGTTAACATAGCCCCAGGGCCAGGTCCTTGCGAAGACCCTTGATTCTTGGCCATCGATCTTCGTGAGCTCCGGCCAGCAATGAAGAACCAGGCAAGTGGGACCTACCTGCACCTGCAGTGGCCCCACCTGTCGTGTCTTGACGAGGTCGGCCGCTAGCCAAGGTACCGAAGATAGGCGACACTGTCGCGAAATCGCCCCAGCGCAATGATGTCCCGAAGACGCTCCAAAAAGCCGACCGCACATAGGGCAGGCTCATTGGGCCCAGGTAGGTAGGTGGGTCTCCGGTTCTCGGCTTAATAGTACTGTGGACGCGCTTGCCGTCAGATGCATCCGAGTGGGGCGGTAATTATGGTCACTGCTCGTGCGAGTATGGGGGGCAACTACTCCTAACTAGCGCCTTGCCGAGAGTGGTAGAGTGAGCGCGCCAGTGACAAGTGTAAGTAGCACGGCTCGACGTGATTGCTTGACAAGTGTAAGTAGCACGGCGGACTCTGGATGCATCGAGGTGTTTTCCCTGTCTTGGATTGGAAATCGGTGAAGCAGCCGAGCAACAAGAGGAGAAGAGGAAAAGGACCGAGGAAGAGGGGTGAGGGAGGTGGCGCCAGCTGGGTTGCTTCGACCGGTTTAGGCTGGAAGGCAGGTGCAGGTGCAGGTGGCCGCAGAAACCACCGTGGCATATCAGACGCGCGCGTTGTGCGCGTTGGAATGGAACTCAGCGGGGAACGATAACAGCTGACGTGGCGTCACGCGATCTGTGGCGCGCTGTGCCAGCCTGGACTCGGCGCGCTGTGCCAGCCTCGACTCGGTGGCATGCATTGTGTCGTTGTCTCATCACCTCCGACGGCGTCAGGTGTCCCAGCCTGGACTCGGCGCGCTGTGCCAGCCACGATAACCACCGTATACTCAGCAATCGGCTGAGGTGTGCACCTACGTCGTCCACTTTGTGGATTAAGACTATGGGCATACCCCGAGTAGGACTCGTTTACTTCATTTTTCGAAGTAATTGCGGTGAGATACATCCAGGTCCGGCCGGAAATGCGGTCATATGCATTTGAGATAGTGAGAGTGTGAGTACGCGCTCTATGGATCTGGCTTCCACCACTCGTCAATACGACGAAGGCTGAAGATTTGGTAGGTGTCTCTTCTCTCTAGCTTCCAGTTAGCGATGCACTCCCTCTTGTGCACATTTGGTGAGTAGTGTGCATTGTGGGGCAATAGATCTTCCCCTCCCATCTTGAATATCCCCTCCATTTTCCATTCGCTCTTTGCATCTCCCGCAGAGAGGCAAGAACGCGTCCGTCCAGCAATGCCGCGATCAGACGGTAGGCGGAGTACGACCGGTCATCCATCGTTGTTGACCGGTTATTACTTCTGCCTGTGCTGCTATCCGGTGATGATCCTGCGTCGATGACAGACAGATCGCTGTCGCTTCGGTTCCCAAAGTGTAATCTTCGCGACATGTATATCGTATATCATGACTCGGTCGAGGGACTGATATGATAGAGAAGATGAAACGTCGTGAAGAACCTGATTGGTACTTGCACATGTCGTTTCTCGTTACTCTGAAAGAGCCCAGACACGGGCGCTTCTGTGTCGTTCGGTCAGCATTGGCCTCGTGGTAAGAGAGAGAGAGAGAGAGAGAGAGAGAGAGAGAGAGAGAGAGAGAGAGAGAGAGAGAGAGAGAGAGAGAGAGAGAGAGAGAGAGGATCCGATGCGAGAGTGCTTGATTGTACATAGAGAAGTGAGTGAAGTGGTCACTGATAGAGATAGATATTGGTGCGGGGTGGGGTAGTGTCGGGTGGAGTTGGGTGAGGTGGAGGGGACTGGGTGCAAAAGATGAGAGATGTATAGGTAACAAAAAGACGGAAGTGGGGCGTGGGGTGTTTGCGGCAGGCGGGTTCTCTGGAGGTTGTGCTCAAAAGATTTGCAGGACAGTTGGTGTATGGATGCTGTCGAGGAGGGGGAGGGGAGGGGTACTTCGTCGTCTTGCTGGTGTTTCTGAAGTCGGTCGGAAGCAGGGATCCCGATTTTGCATTGGGGGAAAGGGGTTTGGGGGGGGTTTGATGCAGTCAAGCTCACGGGGCTTGATCTGGGGGAGGGTGTTTTTTATTTTGGCGATAGGGCGGGTAGTGGGGAAGGGTGGGAAAGGGAGGCGACAATGCTTGATCTGTCATCCACTGCGTGGAATGACATCAGGGAGAAAGGGAACGAGGAGGTGGTGCAAGAGCTGGAGGTATGTAGGCTGGAATTGGCGGGAAAGTCAATAGGCGATTGCGATTTGGGAGTGGCGGGAACGTCTATCGGGGATGTATGTAAGCCAGAATACGCGGGAAAGTCAATACAGGAGCTCGAGACTGAGAAGACGAAATACGAGGGCATTCTACGGCAAAATCTCGCTCTGCCTGATAACGGGATTAAGATCAGGCAAAAGCTTGAAGACATACGGGCGGCACTGACCTTCAAAAAAAGTCGGAAGCCCCAGGTACTTATTATTTAATTTTCCATTTATTTTTTACGCATTATTGTTTTCATTAATGTTCCCCACCCTCCCCTCCTTTTTCTTTTGTACTTTTACAACAATTTGGACCATTTGTCGATGTATGCGTGTCATCCTTGTGAAGGGCCATGCTAATCTTCATTCTCTGATTCGGTCCTATCTTTTTAACGGATATCCCGAATGACGTTGTCCATTATTGTTGTATTAAAATATATAAGTGCTATTATACATATGTATTTAAGGGGTGCGCTGACCTTTAAAACAAGGCAGCAATGACAATATATCCTTGCTATCATAGATACATAAATATAATTTCATTTTTCAGTAAAGATTTTGTCTAGCCTCCTGAAACGAAGAATTTTTTAAAATCTCTTCTTCCCCCCCCCCCCCCCCCCTCCCTCCCTCTTAATTTACAGTATATTTTATCCCTCCCCCCCTCTCTTCCTTGTCCGCAATTTACTCCCCCCTTTAATTTACTCGATCATCTTTCTGGATTCGCTACATGACGACGGGATTACGTTGGAAGCGACGTTCACCACCCCTAGCAGCTGTAGAAGTTGTGTTTTTTTTTTTTTTTTTTTTTTTTAACATAAAACGATGGAAGCGGCGTTTGGGTGCAGTCATAAAGAACTGCCCGATGAACCGTAGGCAGAGAGGGAGAAGAGGACAAGAAAAACGTTTCGGGCGACTCATCAGGAGGCAGAATATCTGTGATGATGTATGTATATGGATATAAGTGTGAAGTTGTGACCTAGTTTTATGTATATGTATATATATTTTGTGATGTCTTTTCCCGCCTTTGCGCTCCGATTCACAGTGTGACAATATACACATGGATATGAGAGCGCAAAAGCGAAAGGAAAAAAGAAAAAAGAATGAATTCGTTTTTTTTTTTTTTTTCTTATATCTTCTGCCTTACATCACAGTACGAAAGTTCTTGCTTGCTTGCAGTAAGCGGATAAAATCGGGAAGTGATCGTCTGCCGAGCATTTAGTTAGTGCGAAATTATGAATAGATATATACATACTCGAAATGAATTGATTTTTTTCTTTTTTTTTCGCTTTTGCGCTCTGATATCTTTGTGACGATGTATATCGTCAAACAGAGTATATATATATATGACGATATATATGATAGTATATATATTTATATATGTTTTGCTTTTTTTCGCCTTCGCGCTCTGATTCACAGTGTGACTATATATGGATATATTGTCACGATTTATCATATATGGATTATCAGTTTCAGTATCCCTCGTATAGTATCATCGCTTCTGATGATTTGATTGGGAGAGGCTTACGGACGAAGGAAGTGCTGGCGGAGTCTTTGCCGCATTTGATTTTGACAAAATCGGCGATAAGGGTGACGACCGAGAAAAGTGGTCGTTATATGGTTGTATCTATGGGACGCTGGACCCGGTTTCCAGCAGGTGATGCTCCCCATCAATAGATGGAGCTTGTTTAAAAAAAAAAAGAAAAAAAAAAAAAAGATACAAGCTAAAAAGAGGATGGCTCCGCGAAGACGGCAGTAAGTATTGTAACAAATTTTCTCATCCGTATACTTAAAGCTAATGGGCCTCGATCCACTACTGACCATATTAAAAAAATACAAAAATTCAGAAATATATGGTGAATAGTGCCTTTCCATGTGCTTCGAGCGGGAGATTCATTCTCATTTTCCACGTTTGGTGAGTAGTGGGGCGAGGCCCAGTACCTGTTATCTGGTAGGCGGAGCTTGCAGCGGGGGCGTAAAAAAGAAAACAATTCACGCAGGTTTTTATTTTATTATTTAAATTTAAATAGAAGGACGACGTCACTCTTCCGCATGGCCACTGCGCGGGAATGACAGGGATAAATCGGGAAATGGTAAAAAAAAAAAGAAAAAGAATACAAGAATGACGCTATCTCAAGGCCGTCGCCCTCCTTTTTTTGTTTTTTTTGAAGGGGCATGACATGGATCCCCGCTTTCTTTTTCCCGCAGTAGCAGTTCATCTATTTTCGCGCAGACGCCAGCGGTCACCTGGCAGGAGCGATGGCGTGGCAGGAACCGACAACCAGGAAGAAGGAACGAAAACGCAAATGCTACGCTCTCGTGCCCAAGTGGCCAAATGCTTGCGCCCTTCTGTCACGTAGACATGCTTGCGCTCTCCTGCCACGTGGGCAAATGCTTGCACTCTCCTGGCACGTGGGCAAATGCTTGCACTCTCCTGTCACGTGGGCAAATACAGATGGAAAACACATGCAAGGAAGAAGAGTATAAAGTAAAAAACTGCAGGAAATGACGGCCAGGAAGAAAGAACGAGATGCAAATGCTTGCGCTCCCGTGCCACGTGGGCAAATTATTGTCCTGATTGCTCTCTCCTGCCACGTGGGCAAATGATTGTCGGGAAGAAAGAACGAGATGCAAACAATCACGTGGCAGGAAATGACGACCAGGAAGAAAGAACGAGATGCTAATGTTTGCGATCTCGTGCCACGTGGACAAATGCTTGTGCTCTCCTATCCTGTGGACAAGTGCTTGCGCTCTCCTGTCACGTGGGCAAATGCTTGCCCTCTCGTGCCACGTGGATAGGCGCGATCGCGTGGCAGGAAATGACGACCGGGAAGGAAGAACTAACGACTTCCCCCGAACATAAGCACACGCGTTATATTCGAGTTTTTGAAAAAAAAATCAGTGATTCGAATAGGAAGCATGTGCGTTGTATTCGAATATACCAGCTGTTCAAATAGAATGCATACGCGGTGTACTCGAGTAAAAAGCAACCGATGCGTTGTATTCGTTCACAACACATGCGTTTTGTTCCGGGGAAGAGGGTAGATGCAAATGCTTGCGCTCTCCTGCCACGTGGGCAAATGACTGTCCTGCTTGCCCTCTCCTGCCACGTGGATAGGAGCGAGCACGTGGCAGGAGACGAAAAGACGTAGAACATAGAACGAAATACCACGTGGACAGGCGGCGACGGCGAACAGAGCTTGCTGTGGTGGCCTTGTTTCTGCCGCATGGATGTGATTGTCCATATGTATTTTGCAAAGTGGGTGCTCTCTGGGTCATATCTCTGTGAGACTGTGGCAATATTTGCTTTCTTACAAGGGAAAAAAAGGAAAAACCAAGCGCAAAAAGGAAAGTGTGAAAAAAGATTGTGAAAACAGATGGAAAAAAATAATTGCAAGGAAGAAAAAGTAAAAAAAAAAAAACCTGCAGAAAGGTAAAAACTGAAAAAAAAGAAGGAAAGAAATAGGTCGGAAGGGGGGCGTCATCGATATGCCTCCTTTTTGCTTAACTTTTTCTCTTCCTTTTATTGAAAAAAAATGCGGAAATCTCCCAGTTACTCCTTTTTGATATCTCTAGAACATACACAGAGACACACACACACACACACACACACACACACACGCACACACACACACAGAGAGTGAGAGAGAGAGAGAGAGAGAGAGAGAGAGACAGAGAGAGTCGAAGAAGAACAGAGACAATAGAAAGCCCACGCCTTTTTCGGTCGCATGTCTCACAGTCTATGTATATGGAACGCGTATGTACTGTCGCACGGTTAGCGCACAGATAGGAAAGAAAAGGGAGGCGAGATGGACTATTTCACCGGGCTCTCCCTGTCACGCAGCTCTCGCACTGCTATGATTCCAATGACCAGAGGACCTCGAGTTCATTCTCGAGGCAGGACAAGATCATACACGATGTGTATTTCTGATGCCAATCCGCGACAAACTATTCCGTCGCCCTCTGACCAAGTTTCCTCAATGTTATACTCTTCTTTCTCAGATAGAAAGCAACCGATGTGTATTTCTGTTGACATCTCAGAGTACGAGTGCGATGCAAAGGTGAAGGGTGGCTGTTGTTGTTGTTGGTGGTGGTGTCGCCGCTTCGCCCAGAATTAGCTGAGTGGAAGGGTGTGCAGATGTGTGGGACTTCTGGCTCAAGAGGAAGGAGATGGCTGCGCTCTGTCACAGAGGAACCCGGTACCCTTTGCACGAAGTGCATGACTTCATGGATGGTGGACGCATCTCGGATGAGTGGAAGAGGGAGAGATGTCACGATGGCGGTGAGATGTAGGTGTGAGACCCGGGGGGAGGGGGGAAGAGGGAGGGGGTAAGATGTAGGTTCAGGTCCTGCGGGCGGGTCCTCTGTGCGTGCTGAGTGCTTAGCATGAACCTGGGCGCGAAATCTGGTAGGGCTGTTTGCTAACGTAGAGCGGACGTGGCACCAATGAGGCTTGTTTCACTTTTAATCTCCTCTCGTTCTTCCTGGCCCTCCTGGTCTCTGAGTATCCTCTGTTGCCCCTCAGCCCATCTTCTCGCCCGCCTTTTTTCGATTCATCTTATCTGATCTCATCTCACCTTATCTATCTAATCTATCTGATCTGTTCTAAGCGAGTTATCTACTCTACGTATCTGATCTATCTCAATCTATCTATTTAGCTATTTGTCCTGTCTATCTGTCTATCTATCTATGTATCTATCTAATCTAATCTAATCTAATCTAATCTATCTACCTACGTAGACCTATCTAATCTACCTGTTTAACCTTCTCTACCTAACCTTCCTATGTAATCTACCTATCTATCTACGTACCTACCTACTTGACCTATCTAATCTACCTATTTAACCTTCCTATATAATCTACCTATCTAACCTTTCCATGTTATTTACCTTTCTAACCTTCCTATCTAATCTACCTATCTATTTTATCTATTTATTTAGTTTAACTATCTATCTAATCTCTGTCTATGTATCTATCTATCTATCTATCTATCTAGTTCATTTATCTATCTAATCTCTATCTATCTATCTAATCTCTGTCTATGTATCTATCTTTCTATCTAGTTCATTTATCTATCTAATCTCTATCTATCTAATCTCTATCTATCTATCTATCTATCTATCTATCTATCTATCTATCTATCAATTGTGATTCAATTAGCGAGCGATACAAAGGAGAAAGAAGAAGAATGAACTTCATGCCGGACGTTCATC